ACAGCATAACCTTCATGTGCACAGTCTTGATATTTTCGGCAAATGTCAGTCCACCCGATTGAAGCATATCCCGAATCTACCTCAACATATTCCACTTTCTCGCCATTCCAGAATGCCAAGACTTGATGCAAAGTTGAAGGTACGCACTGATTAGAGTGTATCCAATCTCTTCCGAGCAGCAGATTATATGAACCATCAGACTCTATTACAAAGAAAGTCGTTTTGGACGACTTGAACCCTATAATCAAGTCCAGCACTATTGCCCCCTTGACTTCGGTAACTTCCCCAAGAAAATCAGCCAACTGAACATTGGAAGGGATAATGTTATCATCATCCTTCCCTAATTTCTTGAAGTACTTGTAAGCTACGAGATTCAAAGTAGCTCCGGCATCTACGAAAATTTTACCGACAGACCTATCATTGACCTTTCCTGAAATAACCAAGGATCTTAGATGCTTTGCTTTTTCAGAAGGTACCTTATCAAACTTAATGGCTTCTTTGTCGGGGAACTGGAATTCTGCCATAGCTATCTCCTTTTCCGAAATGTGTTCGGTATCTTCTTCCACTACCAAATTAGTTCCATACTCCGCTGGAAGTTTAGCATGGATCATATTTATCCGTAATGGATGACCATATTCCTTTGACAATTTGGAGTAGCCATTTCGGTAACTCCTGTCATTTCCTCGTGACCATTTAGGACCCAAGTTCTTTTGCCCCACCTTTCCTTGATGTCTTGGGTTGAGGGCTACAGTGAACTGCCCAAAATTAACTGTCTGAGGAGCTTGTGAAACTTCTTCTTTTCTCATTTCAACTCGAGAGCTATTTCCCAAATCCCCTGGTTCTGATTTAATCTGATCTTTTTTATCAGGGTTTCTCTTCCAGACCCAATTACCTTTCTTACTGACAAATGTGAAAGGTAAATCCTGCTTTGCTGTACCTTTAGCTTGTCTATTCTGAAAATTCCTTTGCCTGTTTTTCATCCGCTGAAAACGCCTCTTGATGGTTCTGTAAGACGCTTGTCCTGGTGATTTAACTGTTGACCATTTTCCTTCGGGAGGATTGTGTGGTAACTTAACTGTTTTTCGCTTGTGGATTTCCTGGGAATTTGATGGTGATGGATCATCAAACTCATCTCCCCAGCCAGTCGGCACAATTGGTAATGATGGAGGTGTATAGTCATCCGTGTCTCCGTAATAGACCACATAGTCAAACTTCCCACTAGGTTCTCCAAGCAATCCGACTTTAGGATCACCTTCTTTATATCGTTGCCATAAGTTCTTTTTCTTTGCAGGCTTGGGTAATGTTTCTTTTTCTTCATGGACCTGAGTGGCCGATTCCCAAAGTGGGAAAGCTGGTTGCGATGAATCATGGTGATATTCCTTCCTCTCATATCTACGACTAACATCTTTTCTTTCGGGAACATGTGCTGTTTGTCTTGATTGAACTTCCTGATCTCTAGCTTGTACCGTACAATTTTCGGTAGCAACAATCTCAGATTTTACCTGTGGTCTACCTATTCTGCGGACAAACGATCCCGATCGATATCTCCCCCTTGTTCCTATCATGTATTGGAACTTGGGTATTTCCCGATCCTGATGAATTAGCTCTTGGTGACAACGAGTGCAAAGTTGCTTGTTATCATCGCCTGTCATATCTCGTATGTTAACCATACTAATCATGTTCGGGAAAGGGTCTGTGTCCACTTCCATTTCCTTGCCTTTGTCTTCAGCAAACTTAATCTTGCCTTGGCGAATTGCCTCTTGAATAGTCTTCCTAAATACAATGCAATTCACCGTATCATGAGTTATAGAGTGATGCCACTTGCAATACCTCTTATCTGTCATTTCCTCCTTTGGCGGAATTATTTGCCCTTCAGATAACTTGATCACTCCATCCTTCAACAGCAGGTCAAATATTTCATCCAACCTGTAGATGTTGAAGGAGTAGTTATTTGTCTCCTTAGCCTTGAACTTGGATGCATCTCTCATCCTGGCTGGCTTTAGTGCTGGGCACACATATGGTTTTTCAAGCACCATAGTTTCTACGGCTATTTCATTCTCCTCTTCGGCTATATCACCTTATTCGGTATTTTCAGCAAATGCCACTGTATGCCGATTGTCCTTATTCGGCTTCTTATCTTTCTCCTTCAACAAGTGTTCGTACTTGGAAACCCGTGCGTTCAACTGAAAGAGATCGTCAAATGCTTGTCCTTCAAATCTTTCTTTAAGGTTGAACCTTAAGCCATTAAAAGCCAAATCCGTGAACTCCTTTTCGGTAAGTGATGTTAAGCATCGGTTTCTGGATTTCTTGAAACGTGCAATAAACTGATCTACCGTTTCGGTACCATATTGATACATCCTGGCCAAATCGGCTACCGTTACCTCTGGTACCGTTCGGTAAAATTGAGAGTGGAACTGCCTTTCCATTTCCGTCCATGTCTGAATAGAATTCGCAGGCAAATTCGTATACCAAGTGAACGCCGTTTTTGACAAAGACAGTGGGAACAACCTTAACCTTAAATACTCATTAGTTCCAGCTTCTCCACATTGTGCTAAGAATCGACTCACATGTTCCACAGTTGACTGATCCTCTTCTCCTGTAAATACAGCAAAATCTGGCATCTTGAAACCCCTCGGATATGGTATATTGTCAACCCAATCGGGATGGGTTTCCTATACACTGGCCTTGGCATTCCTCTCTCTGCTCCCAATTGTTGCATTACCAGTTCTGCAACTCTATCTGGGTTCTATGGCCTTAAATTTTGCTGGCCCAACCAAGGATCTTGACCTCTATGATCAAACTGTTGAGGTCGATTCACCCCTTGCTGCTCCATGTTGAAATTAACGGGAAGTGGTGGCCTATAAAGAGGGTTTTCTATCACATGAGGATATGGTTGAGGCGCAGGTGGTCTGATATGGTCAACATTGGACATATTCACTGGTGGAGGTACATTTATTACTGGTGGAGCATTTGTGACCATGGGATTAACCAAATTAACATCATTCGGGACATTTTGAGGGAAATTATAAGCACTTACACCATTCACGAGGTTTATAGGGGTAGGATTCTCTGGTCTTGGTATAATCCTAACAGGAGGTTGAGAACTTGATCCCCCATTACCGTTATATCCCACATGAGGAGGTCTCGATGTTGGTGGGAACGATGTTGACCCAAAAGGATTTGCATAAAAGGGTGGAACTTGAGAAGATGAACCGGGACGTGATATTACCTCATTTATAGCATTAATCACCATGGGCTTTATCACATCAGTCACATGTCGCACCATATGATTGGTAAGGTCGTTCTGCTGTTCCTCAAACATCCTTTTCATCGTGGCTACCAAGGTATTACCTGGTGCCAACGTGCGGGCTTGTTCTTCAGTTAATTGCCGAGGAATATCGGCATTCTCCTCTACTTGATTAGCCGCAGAATGTTCAGAACGTGTTTCATCAACTGGATTGTTGACGTTACCGACTGGTAGTCCTTCAGATTGCCTAGTTCTCACCATTTCTCCAAATCTTATCATGCAGGTCCCACCGGGCGTGCCAAAAAGATGTTCGCTCGTTTTATGACGAGGAATATCCTTCACCGAAACTTCGATTTTTTCGGTTTTTATTAAAGTAGGTTCTGTGGCTTGATTTCTAGGAATATCGTGGTGAAAAACAGAGTGTAGTGCAGGGTTATATGGAAGCGGGTGGAAATTGAGTGGATTGAAAATGGATCTGAGATCAACAACGTTTCTAACTACGTTACAATACTTCTATGAAAGCTGTAAAGGACTTGAAGGTTAACTAAAACCACAGGAAGCTGTAAACGCAGGAAGTAAAAGTGCAGAGGAAACTAAAGTGCAGATAAGCTTGAGTGTTTTTGTATTGTTGTTGATGATCCTTCCGTCTTTGCTTCGTCTAAGTATTTGTATCTCCCCTTATCCTGCAACTGCTCGTCGGTTACTTCTTTGTTTTCAAACTTTGAATCTTGGCGCTTTCAATAACTGCCTTTTCTATCCACGTTTTCCAATTTCATTGTCCACCAAAACTTAATCTCAACCGCTGGGATAACTTCCAATTTGGATAAATAATCTCCCACGATCTGCTCGTGCTCACTATCCCCATTTTTTGCTCATAACTTCCTGTTGTCACGATTCACGTGGCTGGGTTGTGATCTTGCCGATTTTCGGTAGTTTCAGCATTTCCCGAAATGTAAACTTTTCGTATTTCGGTAAAATTACCGATTCTCTCCAATCACCGAATTCGGGACATGGTGCCATTCACATGGTATCAGAGCATTCCCGAATTTTATCCAAACGTACTTCAACAGACGACTGAGCTCCATTGTCCGTCGGATTTTTACATTAAACCGACTTGACATCTATGCCGATTTTGGTGTAAACACTATGCTAAAGAATTCGAGGATGAGTGGCGATACTTCCTGGATGACAATTTTTTCACTGGTGTGTGCTACTCCCATTGCATACCCTTGAAGGCCGTCAGTAAGAGGCCTGCAATGTAAGTCAAGGGAAAATATTCATGTTGGCTAGCATTTTGGTTGCGTGACCTACTGAATGAATGTCAATGAATCTGCTCCATAAGACCCGAAAGATTATTCAGCATTCTAATGAATCAACAAGTTTACGACGGTTTGAGTAAAACTCAGCTGCCTTGATGGACTTTTTACTACTGCATTAGGATTTCCTGTCTAGAATTTGTTTGTATATATGACTTTCAAACTAAAATACTGTAATCTCTTCTATCGGAAGATACAATTATAGACATGAGCCCCGTCCATAGTCCAAAACTAAAATTCTTTAATCATAAAGTTGAATTTTTTACTACCACTTTGGGATTTCCTGTCTAGAATTAGCTGTTGCGATGTTTTATTTGCATTTATGTGGGCTGCATCTACCGAACACTGATTGCAGACTGACACTTTACCCAATAACTTTTGAACCAAGTTGTTTAGCAAATGGGAATCGAATGACTTCTCAATTTTGCAGTTCAGACGACTAAAAAAGCAAAATTTCCATTGATCTCTTTTGAATGGGCCCATTCAGTATAAGGTTGCTACAAAAATACATCAAAGGACTGTACATGGGATTAGCATCTCATACTACACAAACTTGTTTTTGGCTTGTTTATCTCCTCTTACGACTGACTCAACTGCGAAGTGAGGGCAATGAATGTGTCTTCTGTGCAAGGAATTGTGAGACCGCCCATAGGATGATCAAAGCCAAATTCTTCCTCGGCCTTGCTCAGCAAGTCCTGAAACAAAGGTTGATTCAAGAACGATACCGGCACTACAAATCTCTTCTTCTGTCTCTCTCCAACATAGACTGCAAGGTAGCCTTTTGGGACCGAGACTCCTTCTCTGCCGATGAGAAGAGATCGGCGGAGAATCTGCTTCGCATGCATGATACTCGACAAGTGAATGGCCATATTTATCCCGGAGAAAATGAAGGAGATGGCAAATTCTTTGATTCAGAAAGAAAATGTTTTCCGAGCTGAGAGATCTTGAGGGCTTGCTATGACTTAGAAAAAAAAAATGCATCTATATATAAGATATGGGAATGTTAGAATGAGTGGTGTATGAGGCATTTCTTCTCTGGTTTGGCCAAGAGACGTGTTCACCTGATGGTTCACATGGTCCTGTCTTCCAACTCATCATCAGGAACTTTGATATTGATTGAGACTTTCATTTTTTGTTAAGAGTGCACCCTATGCCCTACCTCATCCGGCATAAGAAACTGATCTAAGGGACCACCAGAGAGACAAGAAGGGCGGAGAAGGTCACTTGCAATTTATGGTGAATCATCTCTGACGCAGAGGGAGGAATATTTAGAAGTTTTCAGAATTAGCTCTACTCAGAGCTATGATTGCTTGGTCAGTGGCCAGCGTGTCTGAAAGCAATGACTTATTTGTTGAAGAAGCCAAAATCAATTGGACATTAACCCGGGGGTTGCGCTCATCGGTTGGTCATATCTGAGATTGGATCATTTTATAAATCAACTTTAACTAAAACTTAAAACTCAATGACCAGTAAAGCAGCTTGGTATAACTATGCCATCTGTTTTTTCTTTGTTTTCGTGGTATTTACTCTATTTGTATCAATGATTTGGCATTTGTCTGTTACTAACAGGTTATCCTCTTTTAAATGCAGAAGCAGCTCCACATTGGCCTAAAATGAAGATGGCTGAAGAGCAAGTTAAAGTATCACGTGATCATGGAGAAATCTTTTGTTGCACCAGAATTTGTTACAACAGAACTCTGCCCAACTGTGACAATAATTGAACTTAAGAATATGACGGGATAGCCAGGACAAAAGGCATGATTTGGGTAAGTGTGACCCTTGGCTCATGAAAAAGCTGAAGAAACCAAAATCTCTATCTTGATGGCGAAGACAGTGTCTAATCTCCTAACTAAACTAATCTTCCCAATCTAGATCTGTGCCTCTAGATCATTCACTCTCTTCAGTTAAACAATCAGAAGAGTTTCGTCAGGCAGCTTTTCTCGGAAAGAAACAAACAAGCCAGATTGATGACATCTCAGCTTATACTGAAGGACCAACCTTTTCACGTAAGAAAAACAATTTTTTTCCTGTTTACATTAGCTGCATAAGTTAGCATGCCATGGAACATGGACAAAAGATTCATCACTGTGTGCTGTCCATGAGCATCACCAGAGGCCAGAAGCCAACAGATTGTCGGATTTTATGATATGCGAAGAGTTTGAATCGCATCATCTTTTGTGGTAGGAAAATCTCACACAGAGTAGGCACCATTTTTCTCCTTCCTCCTGCAAGATAACTCAATTAATAGTGTAACAAATGCAGACCCCCATCGTGAACCATTTGCTCTTCTACTATAAGATAGGAGTTCCATGTCTAGATTGTATCTGTCATTCATCACATTATACACGTGCTATCTTCTTGATTTTTGCTTCAGATCTAAAAGATGCCATAAAATATGGTGCAACATACTCAAAGAAACTGATGCTGCTCATCTTAAATAATCATTGACATTATAATGTACATTTCTACATACTTTTCTCTGTATCAAAGGGTAAACAATAATTTTACACCGAACGAGTCACTTCTATTTACAAAACTGAACCTAATGTCTTCTCTAATATGTCTTGTTGGTATATCTCACGATCTGTTTGTGTAAGATGTCAGATTGAGGAAAACTTCTTCTTTGCAAGGAATCCTAAGGCCGCCCATTGGATGGTCGAACTCAAGCTCTTCTTCAGCTCGACTTAGCAAGTCTTGAAATGGAGGCTGAGTTAAATGAGAGATTGGAACTACATATCTCCGCTTCTGGGTTTCTCCAACATAAACTGCAAAATAGCCCCTGGGCACACCCATGGCCATTGGAACTGCCTGCTTTTCAGTGAATAGAGATCCTCGAAGAATCTGCTTAGCAAGAGCGACAACGGGCAAACGGATTCCCATGAACATATTTCTTTGTAAACTTTTAGAGAAGAGAAAAGAAGATTAACCCTTAACTGTATTGCTATCTCTCTGATAAGAGAATGAGAATTGTTCAGTTCTATGTTGCTTGTAGAACTCATCGATAAGTTCTACTTATATAGATGAGCAGGAGGTGGATTTAATGTGCCAGGTAAGAAACATAAGCACTTGAGAGGTCACATGATATTGTTTTCCAGCTAATGAACTAATGATGTCTATTTCAGGAATGAAACTGAAGACATATTGCCCCACTTCAGAACATTTAATAGAGGTTCGGATAATTTCCTGGAGAGAGTGGTGGTATGAGAGCCTCTTGTTAAAATTTGGAGGAACAACAGGCGTGCCACTTGTACCGACTTCATACGTTTGAGACATTAGCCAATGTGGCCACATGAGTAGTAGGGTCACCTGAAAATGATCATTGCTCAGCAGTGGTTTAATATAACGGGGAATTTGTTTTAAGAAGAAAATAAGGTTTGGTCAAGTGGCTTCATATGCTCTGGATAATACAAGTCTTGTATGGACTGTTTAGAAATTGTTGGATCTAAACTAAATACTGTCAATTGGCCACAATTTGCGTCCTAGTTGCACAAGTTGCTGTACTTTGCCCCCGAATCAATTGATGATCTACGTGAAAACATGTACTGCATTAGACGAAAAATTAAAATGTTGGGAAAAAAACTGGAAATTACAGAGATTCAGGCCTTAAAAAGTGAAAAGTGGAGAGGGTGGACAAAACATTTGGCTACAAGTTTGTTGGGTGGCAGACTTGTAATCTGCTGATTTTACCGAGAAATTTACAAGATCCAGCGAGCTGATTCCTAGCTTGTATGAAGTTAAGAGTGGCAAAAATGAAAGTAACAGCTAAATCTATATCTAACAGCGCTGTAAACTTAATGAGGAAATTATTTCGATGGAGATTCAGACTTCATTTTGCAATCTATTCTTTAGCCCTTCAGTTCAATAACTTGATTTACAACAAATCAAATTGACCTTTTGGTCTCCATTACTTGTCATGCACCAATTTAGGTTGTGGTGAGAAAAACAATGATTACCGTAAGCCCTGACAGAAACAAATAGAAGCAACTCTTGAAGATTTTTTTTCGTTGAACTATCGTCAGTTTACAGCAAGTAGCACAAACTGAATACAATATATTCTTATCGTGAGACTGAATTTCATTGCTTCCAGCACAAAGTGATTACCACAACGAATCGATCACTAGGAAAACCAGATATCCACATATTCATGTGAATCAATATTATTGATCTAAGTTGCATCTCCCAATTGTACATCTATCGCCTTAAACCGGTCCTCCCTAAAACAAGAGGGAAAAGGATCTACACCAGTCAGTAAAATTTATTTACAAAATCGTGTCAAGTGTATTGACTAATCTATCTAGGAGTTCTCTATTCAGGATTGATCATCCCATCTATGAGGTTGAGGAAAAATTTTTCGTTGCATGGAATCGTGAGGCCACCCATTGGATGATTGAAGCTGAACTCCTCCTCAGCTTGACTCAGCAGGTCCTGGAACGAAGGCCGAGATAAGTATGACAGAGGAACGACGAATCTCTTCTTCTGGTTTTCTCCTACATAAACTGGGAAATGCCCCTTTCGAATGTCTAAGGCTGCTGAATTTACTTCTTTGTGACCAGATAGAGACCGCCGCAACATTTTTCCCGGCAAACGGATCCCCATTATCATGTGTCTGAAAACTTTTTCAAGAGGAAAGACTTGAGGAAGAAGCTATGCCACTCACTGGAAGGAATAGGTAGAAATGTGAGTTCTGATTTGGTTGCAGAAGCAATGGCTTGGAAGTGTTATATATAGGGTGAGTGGATGGCAAGTGAGTTCATCTGCTAAGCTGAATGAGGGATAGGAGGTTTCAGCATATAGGGCCAAATGAGAGACATGGACTGTTGGGAGTTCACATGTTAATGTCTGCCAAACCTCATGAAACTTTAGAGCTCATTATAGGAGCAACCATAATGCTCCACATCTCCTGAACAGAGGATCCTTATAGGTCCTACTGAAATCTGAAGAGATTGTGGTTCATGTGAACAGCCTCTTGGTTAGTTGGAGAGGACTCTTAACAAACCATTTGTATCGGGACGAAGAACATTTTGTGCCATTGAGTGTGAGTCACTTATGACTCAATTAATGGACCCTTTTCCACTTCACGTGGACTTGGACCCCAAAACCAGTACTTTACAATCCTATCTAGACTTTAACATATACCTTTCCTTTTCTCAATTGCAGGAAACAAGGGATTCTAGAAATGTTATGGGCTGCAAATGGATGAAATATATGGCGTAGAAAAGTGATCCGGTTGGTAATGATCAATTTAATGGAAAAGCTAAAATGCTTATGAAAATTTAATTAAAACAATGTTGTCTCCCACATATAATGAAAATGACGTCGTTTCTGAACCAAATATTAGAGCTTCAAATCATTTTGAGAGAGAGAGAGAGAGAGAGGGGGGGGGAGGTATGCGAATACGGGCTCATGGTTCTTCACAAAATCAGAAATGTTGTTTTGAAACCCCATTGATTGGCTCAGAAATGACGTCCATTACCTTGTTAAGTTGGAACAATGTCATTCCATGCAACTCTAGGTTGTCCTAAATACAATTGGAAATAGCGTCGTATTCATTAAATTTTGGAGATAACGTTGTTTTGATTGTTTATGGAACAACTTCTGCTAACATGGTAGTGTCCTTGTCATATAGGCGTTTGCTTGCCACTTCAGACGCCACAAATGCACGTTTTTTAGCTTGATCTACAATGGATATAAGTTACTTCAGCTCATGGTAAATGTTAGTTTTTCGCAAGCAGGCTCTCCTCGATAGATGACTAATGGAAAGATACGGGAACCACTGGAAGTACATTGTGCTATGCTAAAGAATCCGAGGATAACCCTGCTCCAGAGGAGTGGCTGTACTTTCTGGATGACATTTTTTTCACCAATGTCCCTATTGAAGGCTGTCAATAAGAGGCCTGCAATGTAAGTCAAGGGAAAATTGTCATGTTGGCTGGCATTTTGGTTGCATGACCTACTGAATGAATGTCATTGAATCTGCTCCATAAGATCTGAAAAGTTGTTCATGAGCGTTGAGAGTAAATTCCAGCTGCCTTGATGGACGTTTACTACCACATTGGGATCTTTTGTCTAGATTCTGTTTGTGTAAATGACTTTCACTTTAAAATACTGTAATCTCTTCTATCAGAAGATAGGATTATAGACATCAGCACCGTCCATAATCCAAAAATAAAATCGTTAATTTTCAGTTGTGATGTTTGATTTGCGTTTATGTAGACTACATGTGCTAAATATTGATTGCAGACTAACAAGTTACCCAATAACTTTTGAACTAAATTGCTTGACAAATTGGAATTGAGTGACTTCTCGCTTCTGCAGTTCAGATGACTGAGAGTGAATTTTCCATTGATCTCTTTTGAATGGATCTATCCAGTATAAGATTGCTACAGAGATACATAAGACGACTGTACATGGGATTGGCATCTCATACTACACAAAATTGTTTTTGGCTTGTTATCTCCCCCTACAACTGACTCAACCGCGAGGTGAGGGCACTGAATGTGTCTTCTGTGCAAGGAATTGTGAGACCGCCCATAGGATGATCGAAACCAAATTCTTCCTCGGCCTTGCTGAGCAAGTCCTGAAACAAAGGCTGATTCAAGAACGATATTGGCACCACGTATCTCTTCTTCTGCCTCTCTCCAACATAGACTGCAAGGTAGCCTTTTGGGACCAAGACTGCTTCTCTGACAATGAGAAGAGATCGGCGGAGAATCTGCTTCGCATGCATGATATTTGACAAGTGAATGGCCATATAGTCCCAGGAGAAAATGAAGGAGAAGGCAAATTCTTTGATGGAGAAAAATGTTTTGCTAGCTAAAAGATCTTGTGGGCTTGCTATGACTGAAAAAAGAAATACATCTATATATAAGATATGGGAATGTTAGAATGAGTGGTGTGTGAGGCATTTGTTCTCCGGCTTGAGCACGAAACATAATCACCTGAAGGTTCACATGGTACTGTCTTCCAACTCATCATAAGGAACTTTGGTATTGATTGAGACTTTCATTTTTGGTTAGAGTGCACTCTATGTCCTACCACATCCGGCATAAGAAACCTGTTCAAGGGACCACAGAAAGACAAGAAGGGTGGATACAAAAAAAGTAAAGAAAGGGTCACTTGCAATTTATGGTGAATTATCTCTGGAGCGGAGGGAGGAATTCTTAGAAGTTTTCAGAGTCAGCTCTACTCAGAGCTCTGGTTGCTTGGTCATTGGCCAGTGCCTCCAAAATCATTGACTTGTCTATTGAAGAAGCCAAAATTACTAGGACATAGACCTGGCGGTCCCGCTTATCAATTTGTCATATCTGAGACCGAAACATTTGTAAGTTCTTATTTAGGTGAGCAGGAGGTGGAATTTCATGTGCCATGTCGACCATGTGGAGGAAGAGTCATCTAACGTGCATTGCCCAGGGAAGAAACTTAAGCACTTGAGAGGTCACATGGTATTGTTTTCCAGCTAACGAGCTAACGATGTCCATTTCAGGAATGAAAATGAAGTCATGATGCCCCACTTCAGAACATTTGATAGAGGACCTGATAATTTCCCTGGAGAGAGTGGTGGTATGAGAGCCTCTAGTTAAAATTTGGTGGAACAACGGCGTACCACTTGTACCGACTTAACATTTTTGAGACATTAGCCAATGTTGCCACGAGCAGTAGGGTCACCTGAAAATGATCATGGCTTAGCAGTGGTTTAACATCACGGGGTGGGTGTTTTATGAAGAATATAAGGTTCAGTGAAGTGGCATATTACACCCTGGATAATACCAGTCTTGTATTGACTGTATAGCAACTGTTGGATCTAATCTAAATACTGTCCATTGGCCACAATTTGCATCCTATTTGCATACCTTGCTGTACTTCGCCTCCGGATCAATTGATGGTCTATACGAAAACATGTACTGGATCAGACGAAAAATTAAAATGTTGGGGAAAGAAACGGAAACTACAGAGATTCATGCCTCACAAAGTGAAAAGGGTAGGCATTTGCCTAGAAGTTTGTCGGGTGGCAGACTCGTAATCTGCTGATTTTATGGAAAGATTACAAGATCCAGCCAGCTGGTTCCCAGCTTATTTGAAGTTAAGAGTGGCAAAAATGAAAGTAATAGCTAAATCTAGATCGAAAAGCCCTGTAAACTTCATGAGGGAACAATTTCGATGGAGATGCAGATTTCATTTTGCAATCTATTCTTTAGCCCTTCGATCGGTTTATTAACATGATTTACAATATATCTAATTGACCTTTTGGTCTCCATTACTTTTCATACACCGATTGTTATTTAGTTTGTGGTGAAAAAAACAATGATTACCGCAACCCCTGACAGTAGCATACAACAAGAGGAGGAAACTCTTGTGGACTTCTTTTCTTCGAATCATCATCAGTTCACATACAACAAGAGGAGGAAACAAGTGTGCTTCTAGCACAAACTGATTACACTAAAGCTCAATTGGATAATGAGGTATATATCCTTAGACTGAATTTTCTTGCTTCCAGCACAAAGTGATTACCAGAAGGACGAATTGATCACTAGGAAAACCAGATATGCACATATTCACGAGAATCAATGTTAAGGATCCAAATTGCGTCTTCATTTGTACATCTGTCTATCTCCTTAACTGAACATCCCTAAAACAAGAGCGAAAATGATTTACACTGATCTTAAAATTTGTTTACAAAATTGTGTCAAGTGTATTGACTAATCTATCTAGGAGTTCTCTAGTCAGGATTGATCATCCATCTATGGGGCTGAGGAAAACTTCTTCATTGCATGGAATCGTGAGGTCTCCCGTTGGATGGTCGAAGCCAAACTCCGCCTCAGCTTGACTCAGCAGGTCCTGGAACCAGGGCAGAGACAAGTATGGCAGAGGAACGACGAATCTCTTCTTTTGGTTTTCTCCTACATAAACTGGGAAATGCCCCTTTGGAACGTTCGATGGTGCTGAATTTACTTCTTTGTGACTAGATAGAGACTGTCGAAACTTTTTTCCGGGCAAACGGATCCCCATGATTAAGAGGAAAGACTTGAGGAAGATGCTATGCCACTTACTGGAAGGAAAGAGGAAGAAGTATGAATTCTGATTTGGTTGCAGAAGCAATGGCTTGGTAATGTATATAGGGTGAGTGGATGGCAAGTGAGTTTATCTGCTAAGCTGAACGAGGGATAGGAGGTTTCAGCATATAGGGCCAAATGAGAGACATGGACTGCTGGGAGTTCACATGTTAATGTCTGCCAAACCTCATGAAACATTAGAGCTTATTATTTGAGCTAACATCATGCTCCAGATCTCCTGAACAGAGGATCCTTACAGGCCTACTGAAATCTGAAGAGATTGTGGTTCATGTGGACCTAGACCCCGAAACGAGTGCTTTACAATCCTATGTAAACTTTAACATGTGCCTTTCCTTTTCTCAATTGCAGGAAACATGGCATTCTAGAAATATTGTGGGCTACAAATGGATAAAATATATGGCGTAGAAAACTGATCCCGGTTGGTAATGATCAATTCAATGGAAAAGCTAAAATGTTTATAAAAATTTAATTAAAACGGTGTTGTCTTCCACGTATAATGAAAATGACGTTGTTTCCGAACCAAATATTAGAGCTTTAAATCATTTTGAGAGAGAGTGAGAGAGAAAGAGAGAGGTATGCGAATTGGGGCTCGTGGTTCTTCACAAAATCGAAGCACATTCATCAACATTCACACCTTCGATATGATTTTATGAAGAACCTAACCTCAGCTCCAATTTGTGTGGCTTGGTCTACCTTCTCTCTTATTTGAAACCCCATTGATTGGCTCAGAAATGACATCGATGTGCTTGTTAAGTGGGTACAATGTCATTTCATGCAACTTGAAGTATCACCCGATTGTCTAAAAATCTTTGTTGGACCAGAATTTGGCACAACAGAATTCTGCCCAACTGTGCATAGACTAATTATACTTAAGAATATAACCGAATAGCGAGGAAAAATGCATGATTTGGGTTAGTGTCATCCTAGACTCACATGGCGAAGAAAGTGCCTAATCTCCCAACTTTAATTAATCTTCCCAATCTAGATCTGTACCTCTAGATCATTCACCCTCTTCAGTTAAACACACAGAAATTTTGTCAGGCAACTTTTCTCAGGAGAAAAAGAAAGGCGTATCGATGACATCTCACCTTACACCGACAGACCCACCTTTTTACGTAAGAAAAACATCATTTTTCTGTTTTCCTTAATTGCATAAGTTAGTATACCATGGAACATGGACAAAAGATTCACTACTATTTTATATCCATAAGCATCAGCAGAGGCCAGAAGCCAACAGATTGTCGGATTTTATGGTATGTGAAGAGCTTAAATCGCATCATCTTTTGCAATAGGAAAATCTCACACAGAGTAGGCGCCATTTTTCTCCTTCCTCCTGCAAGATAACTCCATTAATAGCGTAACAAATGCACACCCCCATTGTGAACCATTTGTTCTTCTGCTATAAGATAGGAGTTTCATGTCTAGATTGTATCTTTGTCATTCATCACATAATACACGTGCTATCTTCTTGAATTCTTAAGAAAGGATGAAGCAATTCAGATCTAAGAGATGCCGTAAAATATTGTGGAACATACGGAAAGAAACTGATGCTGCTCATCTTAAAAAATCATCGACATTATACCGTACATTTCTATATTTTCTTATCCCCGAATTGAAGGGAAGGCAAAAATTTTACACCACACGTACGAGTCACTTCTATTTACAAAACCGAACCTAATGTGTTCCTTGATCTGTCTTGTTGGTATATCTCACGATCTGCTCAGGTGAGATGTCAGATCGAGGAAATCCTCTTCTTCACAAGGACTCCTAAGACCGCCCGTCGGATGATCTTCGGCTTGGCTTAGCAAGTCTTGAAATGAAGGCTGGGTTAAATGAGATATTGGAACTACGTATCTCCGCTTCTGGGTTTTTTTTTTTTTTTTTGGGTAAGATAAGAGGATTATATACTATTCAATTCACAAGATATAGCAGAAAAGCCGTACACAAAAACCTCGTACCTAACGCAACACAGTTGTTGCGATAGTTGCAAAGATGTAGCGGCTGACTAAAGCTAGCGGGCGCTAAAAGCAGCAGGGCCCGGGTGTTAAGAAGAACGAGCTGAGCCTCTAACAAGCGGACTAAAGAGCCACAAAGGAACAACAACTATAGAACATTAAGAAAAATAGATGTCGGGATGTCCCAGCTGGCCTGGATTCTTCTATTGCATGGAGTATCCGCAACAGGCTTGAGAGAAAGAGCCTTATCTCGAACAGCTTTGACAAGATGGTTCCGCATCGCAGGCAGGAAAATGGTCCCATTTCTAAATAGGAAGTTGTTACGCTCTATCCAAATGAGGTGGCATAAAGCTCCAAGTGCAAACCGAGCAAGGTTCTCCAACATAAACTGCAAAATAGCCCTTGGGCACACCCATGGCCATTGGAACTGCCTGCTTTTCAGTGAATAGAGATCCTCGAAGAATCTGCTTAGCGAGAGCGACAACGGGCAAACGGATTCCCATGACTATAGTTCTTTGTGAACTTTTAGAGAAGAGAAAAGAAGATTGACCCTTAACTGTATTGCTATCTCTCTGATAAGAGAATGTGAGTTGTTCAGTTCTATCTTGCTCGTAAAATTCATCGATAACTTATATAGATATGCAGGAGGTGGAATTTCATGTGCCATGTCAGATATGTGGAGGAAGAGTCATCTAACATGCATGGCCCAGGGAAGAACCACAAGCACTTGAGAGGTCACATGGTATTGTTTTCCATTTCAGGAATGAAACAAGACATAATGCCCCACCTCTGAACATTTAATAGAGGTCCTGATCATTACCTGGAGAGAGTGG